GGCCTGTAAGTGGCACGGGGCAGTTCAGTCGCTTAGCTGTCATAGACCTGAGTGTGCCACAGACCCACGTCTAACTGGGCCGGAAGCTGAGACGTGTCCAGCTCTGGGCCCAGACAGAAGCATGGATTCTGGTGAGTGTCCCTTGGCCAGAGGACGGGGCACGGAGTGCCGTGGGGACCCAGGAGGGAGTGGCCGTGTTTCGGTGGTGCGCACCGTCGGTGTGTGACTGGAGAGCATCCACAGAAGAGATGACATTTGCCCTGTGTCTCTCTTTGGTGCTAACTCATTAGGAATGTTAGCTTTCCTTGGAGGTTTGGACTAGAACAACTTCGGGGGACTAAAATTGTGACCTAAGTAGTGGGTGAAGAAACTCTTTTGGCTGGAGAGGGGAAAAAAAATGTGTGAGCTGGAGGTGAGAATGTTAATGTGGTCATTGTGTTTGCCTGGGTGAGAGAGAGGCTGACAGGTGGAGGATGGGTAGACTGTCCCTGCAGGGACACCTCCGGGACCAAGCTATTCAAAGACAGAGTTAAGTTCAGAACCATGAACACCTTTTGAACAAGATGGATGGAAAATAATAGGGCTGTCCTGGGTGCTGGTAAGCCCTTGTCACTGCTAAAAGACGGGAGGGGACACACACACACACACACACACACACACACATATATGTCCTGGGTGCTGGTAAGCCCTTGTCACTGCTAAAAGACGGGAGGGGACACACACACACACACACACACACACACACACACACGTAAGCACTTAGGGCATTGCACCCATCGACTTCCTAATATCATAGCTATTGAGCCCTTGGGGCTTTGGCACACTGTAGTCCTCTCAGACTTTAGAGGCTTGTGACCTTGTGACCTTGAGGTTTCTCCTTCTCTTGTCAACTTGCCTTGTGACTCATTCAGATTCCCATTGTAAGTCGTGTTTGGTTGCCTCAGTTTCACGTACCTGTCCCTGCAACCGTCAGACGACGCTAAGGTTAGGATTACTGGCTCAGGAGCCTTATCTCCTAGGACTACCCTCTGAGCGGGGACTGTGGGCAGGGCAGGCCCTAGGAAGATCTCTTCCAGGGTCTAGTTTAATATCATGGGTCAAGAGGCCTGTTCTGTAGGTGTAGGTGATACGTAAACTATACTTCCCTTTCTGGATTACAGGGTATGCCTGTGTTGGTTGTTACAAGTTTGCAGGCTCTTGAAGAAAAGAGTTTGGATGGAGGTCCGGCCAGAACTGTGGCTGATTCCATAGCACCAAATAAGTACCTAGTGTATACCCTAAGGATGCACTGTAAATGCTTAATGGGCCTGACCATCTCTCTGGGAGCACGTAACTGCTAAGTATTGACAAGAGCAAATAATAGGACACTGTGACTGTGGAATCCTGATGAGATAACAGGGCTCTTTTGGCCTGTAGAGGCAACAGGCTTAGGTTTTACAACACAGACCGTGTTCTTCACTGCCCTATAGGTAATACATGTTTTATGGGGTAGGGCAGTAGCTTAAATCCTGTATCATCAGTGTGTAGGACAGAGACAATATAAATAAGAAAACCCTGTGTGGTCAGTGAGCACATTCAAACCACCCATTGATGTCTTCAGCTCTATTCTTACTTAATTGGTAATAATCTTCAGATATTTTCCAAATATAAAACGTTACAGGGCAGGCATTATTTAGCATTTTGAGAACGACCGTGCCCAGTCAGTGGGGAAAAGGGGATGGTAAACCTGGTGGGACACTGGAGAATATAAAGACGAAAAAGGCTTGTGTAGAGTGTCCCCAGCACGTGGTTCATGGGTTAGACGTTTGGAAGAACAGAGGTGCGTTAAATGAAATATTAAATCTTTGTGGAATAAATGTATACTTATTTCCAATTAATGTAAGGTAAATGAGAACCACAACTCTGCCCAGACTGATGAAAATTCAAAGTGGAACTTTGAAAGGCTTCATTTTCACTTCGGTTATTTAAAAAGTAGAGTCCGCTTTATATGCCCGTGGGTTACAAAGCGCTCAAGATGTCGAGACCTCAGCAAGAGGATCAACCATCAACCATCCGCAGGTTTTGGAGCCCAAACACCACCTTTCTACTTGGCCCCTCACAATAGGATGTTGTATAAACACACGCTCGCTTACAAAGAAGCAATACACTTTGTAGTTTATGCGAGAAGCATTCCTTCAGCCTCCTTGCCAGTTTGGCTGTGTAAACATGTGCGTGTGTACCCTTGCACGTGAATGCTAGGCTGATCGAAGTATACCGTGTGGCGGAAAGAAAAACAGACACCAGCACACGCATTCAATTAGCCCCGCTTGACGGAGACTCTTCAGAATCTCCCCGGGAGTTGGAGCATTTCTTCTGAGCGTTTCACAGACCCAGGGCTTCTAGAAAAACCAGGCTGGCTGATTGAGGTCCTTTTGAAGTTGGGGATGGACTTGACTGGCGGCGTTTTCTTTCCCAGCGAGTGCTGATAGCGAACGAACCACGCTGCTAGCAGTGTCGCTGTTGCCGCCACGCGAGATGTGCCGGGGCGGCTACTAGAAACAGCATCTGGCGGCGGGAACGGTTTTCACAGTGCGCCGGCCGCAGCGTGAGCCCAGCCTTTGTGACAGCTCCCAGCGGCAGCCCCACGTCGCCAGGGACTGCTTCCCCGGGTCCTGTCTGGGGACCACCGATTCTGTCCCGGGGGCCGCGAGCGGCCGCGCGTGGGGCGCGGCGGGTAGCCCTGTCGGGGCCGCGCACGCGCGCCAAGGGTCGCCCCCACCCCCACCCCCCACTTAGTCCCGTGGCGGCGGGCGGCCTCCTGGCCGCCGCCGGCCCCGCGGCCCCTGCCCTCGGCCGAGCCCCTTTATCCCCGGCCGCCGCCTCGAGGCTCCGGGCGGCCGCCCTCGGCCCAGCCAATCAGACGCGAGCGTTCCCTGCAGGCGCCGGCCAATCCACGGCCCGCGTTTGCTGGAAACGCGAAACCCTTGGGGGAAAAGCAATAACAAAAGCCTTTCACTGCAGACAAATGTTAAGTGTCTGTGCAGACTTTTCCTGTTTTTAATTTTATTACTGCAAGAATGGAGGGTTTGTTGTTTCTTTCATGTTTCCTTTCAAGCAATTTTAATTATACATTTGTGCTACATCAGGGACTCTGGAACGCAGTGCTTCAGCCTATTGCGTCGCAAGCTAAAATGCAGCAACCTTCTGGCAATACAGATATATTCCTGCACTGTAAATATAGCTGACATGCTAAAGAATTTTAAGCAGCTGCAAAGGTCTTTGACACCACACACAGTGCCCCAGAGAGCACATGATGAGAAAACCAGCTCCGTCTTCCCCTTCGCCTTCCCTCCCACCCCCTCCCTTTTCCTGGAGGGATGTGCTCATAAAGAATCCTTTCCTCCAATTGTTCTGTCTTGTGCAAATTTTGACCAAATGCCTAATTACCATTGATTCTCATCTCAATATGAATTTTTATATTCAGTGGTTTAAAAGAAAAATTTCCTGAGGGAATTAGAATGGAATCAACCGAGATTTGAGGAAATGCTTGCTTTGCTTCATTCTCGTCCCCCTCCAACCCCCGACTATTGCTACAGTGAGTAAATTCAGCTGTCATCTAATGGCAACATAGACCATATGGGAAACAATTTTTAAATCTCTTTTAGAGACTTTTGAAAGAAATCCTTCCTTCCCCACTGCTCGGGTCCCAGCCATTCAGATATTTTTACCTGCTGCTAAAACATTTCCCACGGAAATTAGTCTTACCTCGTGAGGTGTCTCTTACCATAAAGGAGTGCAATACAGGGTTTCTATAAAATTCAAAATGGCAGTGAGCAAGTGAGCAAACCAGCTAGAAGTAGACTTTGAGTGATGTCCCTAGGTGTTTGCAAAATAGAATGGAGGGTAGGTAGGTACAGAAAAGAAAACAAAGGCTCACTTAAGTATTGCGTTGATTGACCCTGGTATTTTATGCGTGTCTCAAAAACCCAGGTCCTTTTAATATACGCCGTAAAGGGGTGATTAAAAAAATATATGGCACTTGTCCTCTAGAGAAATCAAGAGGATGTTCTATTTTATTTTCCTGTGACATTTGGTATACTAAGTGCACTTAAGTTTAGTAATTCACAGATGCAGTGCTAAATTAAATTGTCTGTCTGCAGAGCAGTTGGGAAAAGCAGAATAGCTTGCAGGAAGCAAGTGTGTTGGTTTTGAGATTTTTTTCTTCTAATCCTCTGTGGCAAATGCTTACTAAAGTTGATTCTAAAGATAACCCCAAGAGCAAACCTATTGTGCACATTTATTTTCTTAAGAGGGCTATTTTAGGAGTCCTTAATATGAAACAAGACCAAACAGTGAAACAGATACCATACCCTGGCTGATTCTTGTCTCACAAAGCCAGAGAGGGGAGGATTAGGAAAGAGAAATCATAGCTGATTGTCCGCTATCTGGACTCTCAGCCCCTGCCCTCCCCTTCTCCTGTTTTTGTGCACCCACGTAATCTTTTCCTAAATAAAAATCACCATTATTTTATATTGTTGAATGGGAAACAAAGCCGATTCCTCTCAGTCCCCTTCTGGTTTAAGCACTGGTAACTGGCGCTTAGTTTTTGTTGGCTGCTTGCCAAACGAAAGCAATTATGTGTAATAATAGAAAAATTAAGAGGTGAGTGTTGCTGTTTTACAGCAGGACATGGCAAAAACCATTTCCTTCTGTCAGCAGTATCTTGATTACACTCTCACACGCAGTCTTACCCTTTTGTACCGCATGCACACAGGCATGATCTCTCTTTCTCTCTCTCGCACACACACACACACACACACACAATTTCCTGTGGGTTTTCACTTGAGGTCACTGAAACCAGAAAGAGGAAGAATGCAAACCACAGTTTTTGAAAGCGAATGAGAACAGAATTTTGCTGGTAAAATAACAACAACAACAACAACAACAGTAATACTAATAATAAACTGGAAACAGAGTAATCTGTGCTAACAGTGGTCCTCCTTCACTCCCCATTCCTGCAGGTGTTCTAGTGGTCAATGTCACGTGGAGGAACAAAACTTACGTAGGGACCCTCCTGGACTGCACCAAGCACGACTGGGCCCCTCCCAGGTACGTACGGACGGGGCCTTTTATTTCAGGCCCTGTTTGCTCTCCTCCTTCCTCCGCTGCCCCTCTCCTTCCGCCATCCTCTCTTTGCACAGAAACTATAGAGGTAGATTAATAATGCATAAAAGTCTGCCCGTAATTGAAACCAGGCGAAAGAGAAAGGAGCCGGTGAGGATTGCACACAGTGAAATGCACCCCCTGCCCCTTCGCCCCCTCTCCTTTGTTTTCTTCTTTTCTCAAAATGGGAATCTGAACTGGATTTGAAGCTAGCTACCTGAGCCGTTTTCCTTTGGTGTTCCGAGGAAGAACATAGGCCGTTCGTGGCCAGTTCTTTGGCAGGGATTAAAACCGTCAGCGCAAGGACAGGGTGTCTTTTCCTTCTCTGGGCCCAGCCCTCGCGCCCCTGGGGTGTTGGCCGCTCTTGCCGGCATTGTGTGCCTCGCGCTGGCTCCCGGCTCTTTGGGGGATGCTCCTCTTGACGTCTCTCGCTTGTTTCCCTAGGTTCTGCGAGTCACCGACAAGCGACCTGGAGATGAGAGGGGGCCGGGGCCGAGGGAAGAGAGCGAGGTCTGCCGCGGCGGCTCCGGGCTCAGAGGCCAGCTTCACGGAGTCCAGAGGGCTGCAGAACAAGAACAGAGGGGGGGCCAATGGGAAAGGGAGGCGGGGCAGCCTCAACGCCAGCGGGCGAAGGACACCCCCAAATTGTGCTGCTGAGGACATCAAAGCCAGCCCCTCCTCCACCAACAAGAGGAAAAACAAGCCCCCGATGGAGCTGGACCTGAATTCCAGCTCCGAGGACAATAAGCCGGGGAAGCGCGTCCGCACCAACTCCAGAAGCACTCCGACCACTCCTCAAGGGAAACCAGAGGCGACTTTTTTGGACCAGGGCTGCTCCTCGCCAGTGTTGATCGACTGCCCCCACCCAAACTGCAACAAAAAGTACAAGCACATTAACGGCCTGAGGTACCACCAGGCCCACGCGCACCTAGACCCGGAGAACAAGCTGGAGTTCGAGCCCGACAGCGAGGACAAGATCTCGGACTGCGAGGAGGCGCTGAGTCACGTGGCGCTCGAATGCAGCGAGCCCAGCGCCAGTCTGGCGGCCTACGACCAGGTGAAGGCGCCGGTGTCGCCCGGCCCCGGGCACCCCCCTGGCACCCCCAAGGGGAAGAGAGAGCTGATGAGCAACGGTCCGGGCTCTGTCGTCGGGTCGAAAGCGGGGAAGAGTTCTGGCAAGAAGAAGGGCCTTCACGGCGAGCTGAACAACCTCCCGGTCATCTCCAACATGACGGCCACCCTAGACGCTTGCTCCGCGGCAGATGGCAGCTTGGCTTCCGAGATGCCCAAACTGGAAGCAGAAGGGCTCATCGACAAGAAGAACGCGGGAGAGAAAGAAAAGGGCAAGAAAGCCAACAACTGCAAAATGGACAAGAACCTCTCCAAACTGAAAACCGCGCGGCCCATCGCCCCCGCCCCGGCCCCCACCCCGCCGCAGCTCATCGCCATACCCACCGCGGCCTTCACGAGCACCACCACGGGCACCATCCCCGGACTGCCCTCTCTCACGACCACCGTGGTGCAGGCCACACCAAAGAGTCCTCCGTTGAAACCCATCCAGCCAAAGCCCACCATCATGGGGGAGCCCATCACCGTGAACCCAGCTCTCGTGTCCCTCAAAGACAAAAAGAAGAAGGAGAAGCGGAAGCTTAAGGACAAAGAAGGGAAGGAGTCGGGGAGCCCAAAAATGGATGCCAAGCTGGGCAAACTTGAGGACGCCAAGGGGGCCGGCAAAGACTTATCGGGGCATTTTTTAAAGGACCATCTCAACAAGAGTGAAGGGCTGGCCAACGGACTCTCAGAGTCTCAGGAGAGCCGGATGGCCAGCATCAAAGCCGAGGCCGACAAGGTTTACACTTTCACGGACAACGCGCCCAGCCCTTCCATAGGCAGCGCCTCGAGGATGGAGTGCAACCCGCTGGTGAACGGGCAGGCGCCCATGGCCCCGCTGCACGTGCTGACGCAGAACGGGGCCGAGACCGCGGCCAAGACCAGCAGCCCCGCCTATTCGGACATCTCGGACGCCGCCGACGACGGTGGGTCCGACAGCCGGTCGGAGGGCGTGAGGTCCAAGGCCGGTTCCCCGTCGGACATCATTTCCAGTAAGGAGGGCGTCGTCAAAGGGCATCCTGCAGCTACAGCACAGTCCTCTCAGCTGAAAGAGTCCCATTCTCCCTATTACCATGGCTACGATCCTTACTATTCTCCAAGTTACATGCACCCTGGGCAGGTGGGAGCCCCTGCGGCCGGGAACGGCGGGAGCACGCAGGCGATGAAGATCAAGAAGGAGTCCGAGGAGGAGGCCGAAAGGAAAGACAAGGCAGAGCAGCTGGACGCCAAGAAAGCGGACCACAACCCGGCACCCTTACAGCCTCAGCACCAGTCGGTGATCACGCAGAGACACCCAGCGCTGGCGCAGTCGCTTTACTACGGCCAGTACGCCTACGGGCTCTATATGGACCAGAAGTCCCTGATGGCCACCAGCCCTGCCTACAGACAGCAGTATGAGAAGTACTATGAGGACCAGAGGCTGGCAGAGCAGAAAATGGCCCAAGCTGGCCGAGGAGAGTGCGACAGGAAAAGCGAGCTCCCCTTGAAGGAGCTGGGCAAGGAGGACAGTAAACAGAAAAGCCTGCCGTCTGCCACAATCTCAAAAGCTCCCTCTACCCCAGAGCCTAACAAAACCCATTCTAAACTAGGGCCGCCAGTGCCTAATAAAACTGAGGACACAGGTAAATCACAGCTTCTCCCCGGCCACCAGCAGCAGCTTCAGGCCGACAGCTTCAAAGCTAAGCAGATGGAAAACCACCAGCTTATTAAGGAGGCTGTAGAAATGAAATCTGTCATGGACTCTATGAAGCAGACAGGTGTAGACCCAGCCTCGAGATTTAAACAAGTAAGATTGTGGAGCGTGGCCCCCCACAGGGAGAGAGCGAGTCTGACCCTTGGACATGTCTGGGCTTGATCTGGTTAGCCTTCTTCCCAGGAAATAAGCCAAGGGTTCCTTAGGGTTGGTCCCTTCCCCTCCTGAAACGTATTCGCAAAGATCCTCTCACGAGCCACTGTGTACCTCTCCAGTGTGCCTAACTCACCCTTGCCTTGGCTTGTGTGTGTAGTCAAAGGAACTTCGCACCTGTGCGCCGCAGACCCGTGTTCCCTGCTGGTCACTCGCTGTGAACCTGACGAGGTCCCTCACTTTCTTACTGAGCCCAGACCGAGGGAATCCTGCCACCTGGCCGCTGAGATCCTGAGTCTGATCTCTACCGCGTGTGTTCTTTCTCGTGTCCAAATTTCTCCCGGCAGCCTCGAGGAGCATAAGACCGGGGCCTTAAACCCACATTCCCCACTGGGCTCTGTCCTACCACTTGGGGCCCAGATGTCTTTCACACGGTGTCTGAGATGCCTAGGGGTTAAGAGCCCCAAAGCGGGGCTCCGTGCCGATCGCCTGTGAGGAGAACAGGGGGGTCTGGGTGCGTGGGCCTCCCGCAGCCATCCCGGAAGCCCCTGCTCGGCCAGCCTGAGGCTCCCTGTGCAGACACCTGAAAATCGGCCACCGCGAAATCACACGTGTGCTCGCACTTTCGGTCACCGCGCACACATCCTGACTCCCTGCGGTCCCGCGAGAGTTAACGCTGGGGTTTCCCGGCCTCCCGACCCCCCTCTCCGCTCCCACGCTTTCACCCCTGGTGAATCAGAGCGCCAGAATCCTTTCTTGAAGCTCATTTCTGCCCAGAGGTCGAGGCTTAGGCCCAAGGTTGAACGTTCTCTCTCAGGACTTAAATACCCAGGGGGTTTTTGTCGTGAATGGGATGGGGGTCGCAGAGGCCTTTTGGGCTCCTCGCTTGCCCCAATTCTGGAGGCCTGAATCAGGCCGTGGCTTCACAGGGCTGCGTCAGAACTTGGGGGGTTATAGATGCCTTTGGTTTCTGAAAGAAACGCTATGAGGTGTGCTATTAACTTTTGAAATTTTGTTTTGATGAAGATGTCTGCACATGAGATGTGAGCCCCTATATTAAGCCTCAGCTGCTGTAGTTGAAGAAAATACATTAGGAAACCAAGAGTTTCCTTCCCCCCCC